TTGCAAGCAGAAATATGCAGTATCATTTCAGCTATGTCAAAAATATATTAACAGATTCAGAGTGCAGTGAGGTTCATTATTGTGAAAAAAAAACACTAGTTAAAAAATAGCTATATTGTTAAAATGAATATATTATTCAATATATATACTAAGCAATAACGCTATATATATATAATGAAAGTATTTAAAAGCACGAATTTTTATTTTATACACAATAAAAACTTCTACTGTCCTTACTGCGATGAGAAAATACATTGGGAGGTCTTGACTCATCAGCTTCTTCATCGCAGTAAGGACAGTAGAAATTTGTATTGTGTGTGTATAAAAGAAACATTCGTGTTTTTAAATACTTTCATTTTATATATTACTCAATATGATTCAGAGGTTGTTTACACCTTTAGAAACATATAATAATAATTAATTAATCTCTTTGTTATAACTCTTTATGTTTAAATTGCTAACATTTTTAGGGACAAGAGGAAAATAAACACACAATGTCATATAACTGTTTTGAATTATTTCTCAAACTTGTAAGGGTTGGAAGAGTTTATAAAATGAAGTAAGGATTTCTTTGCTAACATAATTATTCAAAAATATATTCCAATTCCATTTTTTAAGCAGCTGTTTGAATAATTCAATCAAATATTAAGATTATAAAGCATTAGAAATGTACAAAAATTTCATCCATTGCTAATTTGGAATATATCAAAAGAACATTCTATAACGCATAATAAACATATATGAAGAGAATAAGACTTAAAACATAAAATAAATCAGATAAGGACTCAAATAAATATTTCTTTTTAGTTTGTTGGTCTAATTAAATTTTAGAGGCATCTCTTTTTGTTTTTTGTCAGAAACGGAATTAGGTTGCATTAACTCGATTTTCAAATTATTTAAAATATGTTTTAGTATTCTTTTCACACACAAAAACATTCGAATCTTTTGACAAATAAATAAAAATGTTTCTCTGAAGTAGTAATACAATTAATTGGACTGGAAAAGTAATGTTTTAATTTAAAAATTTCTAGAAATAAACGCTTCTCTCCCAAATATTGATTCTTATTTCTATATTAAAATAGAGAAAAAATGACAATTTTATATTCTTTAATAAAAACATATTTTTCCAGATATTTAACCAAGCGGAATATGTTTCTAAATAAAAGTAGAACGTAGAAGATAAAAACAATCCTTCAATCCATTTTATTAAAAAACTGTTTAATGATACAAGCGATTTAATAAACATAACATAAAAGGCAATCTGTATATTAAAAATATAAACATTTTTTATTAATTTTGAAACTATTTTAATTCAAAGAATAATTTCTTCAGATCTTACACTTATGAGCCTGACTACTTCAATATATTTGCCTTCTCAGGTCCCCCTCCAGAAATTCGTTTTGAAAAAAAATCAGATTTTAAAAGGACAAAATGTTTCATCTTGAATTAGCCTAACCTTTTCTGTAATCTCTTTAGTAGAATATATTATATTATTATTGCACACCACAAGAAGGGCGTATTTTGGAATTCAGATGTAATATTTTGAGTAAGAGTGGATTTTGTTAAACCATTTTGTTTTAAACTGAAACATTACATATGCAAAAATAATATTCTTTATGCAATTTATTCATAAGGGCAATATGTATATTTACATTGTGTCTCTAATCATATCTAACCTGTATATTTATATATAGTGTGTGGAAAATAATAAAAATATAAAAATGGACTTGTGTTGATATTAAAATAAAATTAGGCATATCCTGAACGCTCACATTAGCATTTCAGAAGCAATGTACTCGTATGTCAAAACCAAAAATCAACTAAACGTTAGTTTAACTTGTTCACGCTATTTTCAGATAGCGTATTCATGCGAATTTGACTGAATACCCATTGGGAGTATCTGGGGCTAATAGTTGGTCTTTAAGATGAAGTCTGCACACGCGTACGAAGGCCAACAGCTCGAAACCCGTTCGTGGTTGGCTTTTCTCATTTATCAAGAAACAAGTTGGCCAAATATCACGGAACAAGTTAAATCAATGTTTAGTTGATTTATTTTCCACTAGAAGGCGTTTTTCTGCCATCTAAATTAATCATGTGATCGGTCAAGAGATAGGCCTTGATTTATAAAAATAAAAATTGATCTATAAAAATAAAGCCACCGGCAAATAGACTGTAAACTTAAGCCTCATCTATTGACCATCTCCGCACACTAGCGGACTCACGTCGATGACAAAGCAACAACACCAGCTTTAGCAAACTAAGAAGCGTTCACCTAAAGGCCATGATTTCTGGATAAGGCCTCCGTCAGTCTAGGGCGGAATTTATTTTAAGAAATCCACATGGAAACTTCTCAGTTTGCCAAAGCCGGTGTTGTGGCTTTGTTACCGACCTTATTCTGCTAGTTTGCGGAGACGTTTGCCGGGAGAGGCGACCATTAATCTTATATATATAAAGAGGTATCTCTTCATTTAATTATCTCCTAAATCAAAGTCTCTTATAGTACATAAATGCCGTCCTCTCGAAATTATATATTAAGATATACATATCTTGCTGCATCATGTTTTATGCATAAATTTCTCCACATTGATTTCTTATATTGTTATTAATTTATTCTGAATAATATAGCTAATGTATTACATTTCGTTGATATTCTCTCGACAGAGAGTATGTATTATAATATTATATGAATTTATGAAAACTGTAGGTATATATTGTAATGTTTCCTATTTAGAAATAAGGGATAATCACAATACTTTGTGTTTTAATATTAAATTAAATTACAACAAGGTTAATCAAAATATATAAACAAAACAAACTTATACAAAAGTATCAAAAGAAAAGGTTCTGTGTTGCCGACTGCCTAACTATGAAGAAAAATAAAAAAAAACTAAATATTTTATATAAATAAATGAATATTATACAAAGAATTTTAAATTTATATTCGTCTTTCAACTTTGGCATATAGAGGTAAATTTTAGAAGAGTGGCGCAACGATATGGGGATTTTAAAGGCACGAGCGCGCATATAAATAAAATTCTATATTCCATCCAAAATATATTATTTTTTTCAAAAATATTTAAATATCGTTTATTTATCTTTGAAGTGTTTTAAAAATCTGATTCCGCTACTTCATGTGAACATGCTAGCCAAACAAGACCATTGAATATATTATTTCACATCTAATTGAAATTTTAAAACTTGTATTAATATATAACTTGTTAATTATGCTGAAATAATAACTAATTAATATATATTAGTATTTTGATCAATACTATCCTCGTATTTAATATAAGTTATAATTTATTTTCGAAATATATAAAATATAAATGACTGAATAACCTTTTGAAATATAGATACCTTTTAACAACAATGGATATATTTTGTTAAATCACTTTTGAGATTAATGGAAAAAGATTCAATATATGCAATACCTTTCTTTCGTAACGAATTAATCTTATTTCTAAAGTTTGAAAGGAAAGTAGATATATAATTCAGACAAGTCTCATATGACTCATGCTACAAAAGGAATATTTTGTAATATTTAAAATTTTAAATATTTGTTCAAGTTTCGCGCCTTTTTTGAAACAAATGAAACTACCGAAGTCGATATGATACAAAGACATCAACTTTTTTTGTCAATTATTTTGATGTCTACAGTCTGTCAGATCAAATTAGAGAATATTTGTCTATAGTTGTCGAACTCGACTTGATATAGACTAACAACAATTTCTAGCTGATATCATTTAAAATTGGAAAGACCTCTTCGTGATATTTTATTAGAAATTAATGAAACAATTTGGTTGAAGCTAAATCAATCAATAATTTCTTATTTTTGTTTAATAACATTTCAGCATAATTACCAAGAATAATATCATGTTTTTTAATATTTCGAAAATGTGTGTGTGTGTGAAATCTGAAGCAGAAATGGGTTGAAATAATCATTGCCATATTGATATGAAAGGTGATAAGTTTGATGTCTGCAAAATATCTCAAATTATAGTCTACTGAAATTTATACATTGATTTTATTCCTGAAATAAATCAAATATATTATTTTGAGATAATAAATCTAATATGAAAAATTCTCAGCCGTTTGTAAAGAGATTTGAATGAAATAATAATGTGTATAATATAATAAATGTAGCGTATTAAGCGTATTTATCTTGTTTCAAATGTTTGCGACCTTACTTTGAAAACTAATCCTGAACATAAGCACCATTGTAACATCTAACTCCCCACAAATACAGCATGGAAGCCTTATTGCGCTGTCAGAATTGCAATATCTTCTCCAGACACTTATATAGCACTAGACGAATGGCTCGGGCAACGCCCGGATTTTACCCGAGTGCGTATATATTTTAAAAACGTTTTAATTCAAATACTATTCGTTACAATTATAAATTGGCGCCATGGATGTCACTCTTGTGAAACGTCCCGTTCCAAACTGTGTGTTTTTAAAATGTTTCAATTAAAATACTATTCGTTACAATTATAAATTGGCGCCGTGGATGTCTCTCTTGTGAAACGTCTCGCCCCAAACTGTGTGTGTTTTGAAAATATAAAAATAAAAATGTGAATTTTCATAAAGATTTCATCATGTCGATTTTTTTTTTGCATTTCACCTACTAAATCGATAGAGATAATTACATTTGCAACATGAACTTAGGTATATTGACTAAATAGAAAACTGCATAGTAATAAAGATCATTTTTTAAAGGACCCATATCGTTTTTTTCAATAAAATCGAAACAAAATAAACGATAAATAACGATAATTGCCTTAAAAAGAAATTGCCTTAAAAAAAGAAACATTCGCGGTGATTTTGTCTTGCATTCTTTTATACAATTATTATATACGAATGACCCTGGGAACGCCCGGGTTTTACCCGATTAAATGCTTTTATTCAAATACTATTCGTTACAATTATAAATTGGCGCCGTGGATGTCATTCTTGTATGATATATAAATGAGTTTTAAAAATTGTAAAAAAAAAAAAAAAAATACATCGGCCGGGAATCGAACCCGGGCCGCCTGTGTGGCAGGCGAGCATTCTACCACTGAACCACCGATGGTTATGGAAATTTTCATCCGTGAGCTTCAGACAAACAAACAGACAAACAAACAGACAGAATAAGGCAAATATATAAGTAGATTGGAAACCTATTGGTTTCACCATAAATGCAAATTCTGGTTCTTGGAATATACAGTATGGAATCTCTAGCGGCACCAGAGCAGCAACATCTTGCTCTCGGTATAGGCCGCATGAATGCCTAATGACATTGTCAGAACTACTATCAAGACTAGGCAAGAATATTTTTTCAAAGTCTTAACCGCAGAAAATTCTGATTTTCTTCAAAATAAATCTCCACGTAAGTCTATTTAACAATATCTATCATTATCCTTTAAATAAATCCATTTTTTAAATATAATATAAAAGTAACAAACCTTCTTATAGAGATAAGAATTTTTGGAACAATTGAAAACATCAGTTATATTTTCAGTGTTTAGTTCATGTAATGCCAATTTTATAGTTGCAATTTAGATACACAAGCGCCATTATTGTAATTAGGAATGTGGCACACGACGTAATTAAACCCAGGAAGCCTCTAATTAAGAAAACCAAAGTCGAGAGGCCAAGAGAATAGTCGGGAAAATCACCCTCACATCTCTACCACAACCTCATCACCCTGCCTCTTTCACCCTGCTTCAATATATAGAAGGTTAGGATCTCAAGTAGACATATCGTCAATTGATTTTTTAAGAATATTTACACCTTTTACATATTCAAAACGACATACAAATCGTTTAGTATATTAAATTCCTAATGTGTTTTATTCAAATAGAAAACAATGCAACGCTATTTTGAATTAATAATTATGATAATTACGCGTCACAAATTTTCCTTCATCAAAATACTAATCATAATATAATACAATACCCTTCAATCATGCTCTTCATCAGTTAAATTTAAGAACGTAACAACGTTAAAGAACCTGATGTAAATATGTTGAGTATTACTGATTCATTTGTATAATTAGACTTTAATTTTATTGTATACAATTAAAATGAAAGAATATCTAAACACTTTATATTGAATTTAAAGAATATTTATTGAATTTATTGATCTGTGATATATTATTACTCTACTCTGTATTATTGATCATCATCTTGTAAACAACAATATACGTATAATCGAATTGTAAAAAGAATAAAATAATTATAGTAGCTTAAAAATAGTGTATCTTTCATTTATCTATATATATATATATATAAAGTGCAATTTCTTACAAAATAATTTTCACCATTAATATTTAACAATTAATAGAAACGTATCAAATGGCGACGAAGAATTAACGTAAGTATGGCCACCACTAATTTAAATTATCCAAGGTTTCGTGAAGGTGAAGATCTAAATTGTTATTTGGAACAATTAGAAGAATGTTTTAAATTGAACAAAACATTAGAAGCAGACAAAGTATCTGTGTTATTAACGTCTATTGATGTTAATGTTTATAAGACTTTGCGCGATTTGTTGGTACCCAGAAGGTCAAGTGACCTTAAATATAAAGATTTAGTAGAGGTTTTAACCAACCATTTATATCCAATAAAAAATAAGCACTATGAAAGATATTTATTTCACAAGATTGTACAAAAATAAAGTGAGCCTGTGGGAAAATTTGTTTTGAGGCTTAAATCTCAGGCAGACAAGTGCAAATTTACTGACATAAATGAAAATTTGTGTGATCAATTTGTAAGTGGTTGCTTCGATGAAGCTACGCTTAAAAGGCTGCTAAGTGAACCTTTTTTAACGTTTGATAGTGCAATAAATATTGCAAATTCTGTAGAGGCAGCGAAGTCACAAGTAAATTTGATGAAAAATCCTGGTCATGATATTGATAAGTTGAAAGCCAGATCTAAAAATTTTAAATTCCCATGTAAATACAATAATCCTTGCAAAATTTGTGGAAAGTCTAACCACGATACGAAGTTATGCAAATTTAAAAATGCTCAATGTTATATTTGCAATAAGAAAGGGCACATTGCTCCAGTATGTTGGAATAAAAAATCGGCCCAAAATTCTGGAATGAATAAACCCAATCTGAATAAATTGAATACTATTCAGTGCAACACATTAGAAAACGCACCAAAAATATTGGTAAATGTTAAAATTGAAGATGCAGACACTATAATGGAGGTTGACACTGGTGCAGACGTGTCTGTAGTTTCAAAGAAATTTTTTCTTACAAATCTCAAAAATGTCACTCTAGAGAAATACAGTGGACATTTGAAAAGTTTTTCAGGAAATTTGATTCCAGTTTTTGGAAAATGCTTGGTAAATGTTAGTTACAAAAACTATCAGGAAAAACTACCCCTAATTGTGACAGGCCAGTTTAATAACCAAACGCCGTTACTGGGCAGAAATTGGATAAGAATTTTAAAAGCTGATTGGCCCAATTGCGTTTTTGATATCTGTAATAATATAAATGTAATTTCAAATTTAGAACTGTTTTTAGAAGTATATAAGAGAGTATTTGAAAATAAAGATTTACCAATTCAGGGCATTAAAGGTTCAATATCATTGAGGCCAAATGCAAAGCCCAAATTTTTTAAATTTAGACCAGTACCCTTTTCCATTAAAGAGAAGATAGAGAAAGAACTAGACAGACTTGAAAAAAGTCAAATAATTGAAAAGGTTAATGCTAGTGATTGGTCTACGCCTTTAGTAACGGTAATAAAGTCAAATGGAGAACTACGTTTGTGTGGTGATTTTAAAAATACTTTGAATAATTGCATTGAAGATGAGAAATATCCATTACCTACTATAGCAAAAACTATGTTGGGAAATCTAGGAGGAAACAAGATTTTTACCAAATTGGATCTCTCCTCCGCATATCATCAAATTGATATGGATGAAGCATCAAAAATCTGCTAGTGGTATCTACCCATAGAGGACTTTACCGATATAATAGATTGCCTTTTGGCATCAGTCCAGCTTCAGCCATTTTCCAGAGGTGTATGGACAGCCTTTTTCATGATGTTCCCAACACGGTGATATACTTAGATGATATTTTCATTGGTTCTAAAGATGAACAAGAACATTACAGAATTCTAAAAATGATCTTCGATAAATTGAAAGAGCTAAATTTCACCCTTAATAAAGAAAAATGCTTATTTTTAAAAAAATACATTTGTTTTCTAGGTCATATTATAAATGAAGATGGTGTTAGACCAGATTCAAAGAAATTGGAAGCATTAGAAAGGTGTAAAAAGCCTTTCGACAAAACATCATTGAAGAGTTTTCTAGGGATGTTGAGCTTCTATTCAAAATACATACCTAATATGTCAACCTTGGCTGGTCCTCTTTATCAACTCCTAAAGAAGGACAATCGTTGGAAATGGTCTAGCCAATGCGAAAAGGCATTTCTGAATTTGAAGTTAACTCTATTAAATTCCCAGGCGCTTATTCACTATTCAATGAAGCTTCCATTAACTTTAACCTGCGACGCATCTGCCTATGGCATAAGTGGGGTCTTGTGTCATATTGTGGAAGGGGAAGAGAAGCCAATCACCTTTGTTTCCAGAACATTGTCAAGTGCAGAAGTCAAATACTCTCAGACTGAGAAAGAAGCACTTGCTATTGTGTTTGCAACTTCCAAACTGAGACAATACTTGTTTGGGAGAAAATTTGTGTTAAAGAGTGATCATAAAGCTTTAACGACTGTTTTTGGAAACAAAAGACTTCTTCCGCCTTTAATTGCAAATCGCTTGCATAGGTGGGCTTTAGAGTTGTCAAATTTCGATTTCGATATTAGATATACAAATAAAGATACCATGCTCTGTGCGGATGCATTTTCAAGACTTCCACTTGAGGAAATAAATTCAAGGGAAGACAACATTGATTTGGTGACACATGATATATCATTTTTAAATGTAACTCCATTGGACCACCTCATTATTGAAGAAGAAACCAATAAAGATCCGGTTTTAAATAAGCTCAAGGAATATCTATTAGAAGACCCTCAGTTAGCAAAAAAGGATGAAACAATGAAACCATTCCTTTCAAAATTGGAAAATTTTTCTGTACTGCAGGGATGCATTTTTGTTGATTCTAGGGCAGTGATTCCAAGAACCTGTCAAGATCAAATGTTGAAGTTACTTCATCAAAGTCATATAGGAATCAATCGCATGAAATCTCTAGCCAGATCTTCGGTTTGGTGGCCAAAAATGGATAGTCAAATTGAAGAGTTTGTGAAGGAATGTTCTCCCTGTATGCATCATCAGACAGCTCCTCCCGCTGAGAACACACCTTGGCCCAGGACTAACCAACCGTGGCAGCGAGTTCATGTTGACCATTTCTATTTCAGAGGTGATTGTTATTTATTAGTAGTAGATGCAAATTCAAATTGGATTGAAGTATTTCCAGTTAGAGGTACTACTTCGCAAGAAAATATTAAGCTTCTACGGGAGTGTTTCGCCAGGTATGGATTACCGCAATGCTTAGTGTCTGACAATGGCCCCCCCTTCAATTCGATTGAATTTAAGGAGTTCTTACGGAAAAATAATGTATACCACTTAACCTCGCCAGCATATAATCCCTCGTCTAACGGAATTGCTGAAGTTTCGGTAAGAATAATTAAAAAATCTCTGGAAAAGTCGTTGGAAGAATCTCCAAACTCAAATATGGACTGTATTTTACAAATGTTCTGTTTAATTATAGAAATACGCCTACCTCTTTAGATAAGCCTCCTGTAGAACGTCTCCTAAGTTATGTGCCTAGAACATTTGTAAATTGCTTGAACTCTGAATTTATCCAGAAGACTTTTGGGAGAAATGAGTGTGGAAGGCGACATTTTCAAGTTGGAGATAAAGTGCTGTTTACAAGAGTAATACAAAATAGGCGCAAATGGTTCAAGGCCCAGGTGATACAACGACTAGGTTACAATGTTTATCTAGTAAAGAACCTAAAAGGCACATTTAAAGTGCATGTCAATCAGATGAGGACAGGTTCAGATACCAAATATGCTGAAGATTCTGATTGGACCTTGGACAACGCTGGAGCAGGACCTCACCG